ATTATATATATATATATATATATATATATATATATATGAGCGTGACAATAAAAATAAATAAATAATCGTACTAATTATTATAAATAAAATTAAAAATAAAATAAAATTATTAGACAAAATTAAAAACATTTAATTACTAATTATTATAATAATTTGAATAATTAGTAATTACACACACACACACACACACACAAATAATTAAGTATATTATTTTTTGCAAGATTGCAAATGTGATATTGATTTTATACAACAGTTAAATACACAAGAAGTTAATATTTCACTAACAAAATAGTTCCAATCAAAGCCACAGAACTAATGTGCGCATGAAGCCACATTTTTGGATGAATCGATTTAAGGATTTTATTTCAGTTAAAGTTTATTTGATAAAAAAAAAACGTTTTTTTTTATGGTCTTAGTTTTAGTTAACAATCTTTTATCAAGTAAGTTTTTAGTAAACATCGTGTTACTCTGGCACCTTTAGGATCAATATTTAGACTTTAGTTCAGTTTTTCTTTGGTTTCATCTTTTCTTTTCTCAGGAGAAGCTGCAGGAAACTTCATTTAATCTCATTACTGTCTGTGTGAAACGGATAGTTCTTTCCTGTATTTTCTCATCTCGTCTCAGTCCGTGGTTGTAAATCTCATGCCGCGTGTCTGTGTGAGTTTGACAATTAAACGTACGTGTTCGATTTGCCATTTACATTTGACTGTGGCATTTGGAAAGACTGCAGCACTGGAGGATGTGCTGTTTTCATCAGATCTCATGCTTTTTGTCTGCAAGTTGAATTTGATATCAAGTCTGGAGTAGCTGAAGTTTGCAGTATCATTTATTTGAAGGACACTGAGGTTTGTTTCAGAAACATACAGCAGTGGATTCGTTCTGTCGCTATTGTGGTTGAAATATTCACGTCATCCCCAGCTAAAGCCTGAATAAATCCAGCATGAATGTAGTGAGATGCAGCGGTTCGGAAGACAAACGGAGCCACAGGTCCGATCATCAGACGAGCCCAGCAGCTTTTTGTGTGCCGATGTTGTTGTTGTTGTGACGCAGAGACAGATGTTAGTCTCTGGCAAACACTGGCTTCTGTCTGTGCCGAAAAATACATCTGCAAACAAGCTGCGACATGAAGATTAATGCCTACATCCCAAACTATTTTATTCTGCTGGTCGTTTGCATTCATCAAGCTGTCTGTTTATATTGTGCTTCATGTTCTGCCCCAAACTTTTCTAGTCTGTTTGAATTTGAATATACATCGTTCTGACCGCATTGACTGATGCTTTATTATTCTGCGATTGTAAATATGAACAGTTTGTTTGTTTTGAAGGTTGCCGCAGACGTTATTTCTCTGATGCAAATCTGAGCAGAGTTTGAGATCAGCACAATTAGAGCAGCAGGAGCATGAATTAAAGGACATTTTGATTTCATGTTCCTTTCATGGTCTGTGTATATATACAAAAACTTAACACTGAAATTAAATTACAGATATAAAGCATGCATAAATGTAATTAATAAAATATATATAAAAAAACAGATATAAAAAAACAAAAACTAGTAAAAATGACAAAACAAAACAAAATTACTCAAACTTTTTTAAAAAGCCATTTCAAGATATAAATTAAACCATAATGGTATCTGCTAAAATGGTAAAAAGGCCTATAACAAAACATGTATACAAATAAATATATATATATATATATATATATATATACACATACAATAAATAATAAAAACTAACACTGAAATAAAATTAATAAACTATAGATATAAAAAAACTTATATAAAAAAACTAAACTTATAAAAATGACAAAACACAACAAAATTACTAAAACTTAAAAAATCTATTTCCAAATATTAATTAAACTACAATGGTATCTGCTAAAAGGCCTATAACTAAACATGTATAAATATATATATATATATATATAAACATACATATGCATAAAAAGTATGCTAAAATATATATTTACTTTCAAAATCTACTAATGCTGACTGACTACACTGAAATAAATTTACTTGAAAACATTTAATTGAAAAAAAGCTAGCAAAAATAGTTATCT